CTACTGCTACTGCTACTGCTGCTGAATGAAAGATGGTTATGGAAGCAAAAGAAGGCACAGCAGAAGCGGTGAGAGGAGATAGGCCACCCGCATCAATGCATCATCCGCAGGAGCTTAGCTTCCTTGGTATCGCCGGTCGTGGAGCAGGTAAAGCCGCAAACACGACTGCACGGAATGTGAGGAAGCAGTTGGCGCAGCATCGCAAATCCTTCGAAGAGAATGCGGAAAAGGCCCGTAAGGATGGCATTCCATTGCATCCCGTTATTGGCCATGAGACAAGGGAAGAATGCTTCCGCTGCACCCTGAAGACGGTCAAGTCGCTTTTGGTAGTATGCTCAAATTGCAGCATGACTGGGCCTCCGGACGGCTTGAGAGCAAGAGGGCCCGAGCCAGATATTTGTATGCGCCAGCCTCGACGCTCGATTGCTTCATGGGTTTCAACGCCCACGCGACCCTGATCCTTAAGTAACTCCGAAGCTGAATCCAGCTTACAGGGCTGTTGTTGCGTTGCTCTGCACCCATAGCAATAATCAACCAGACGTGAGCAGGAAGACTTGAAAAATGGGAAGAAGGAAAGAAGCAATGTTTGAACAGGTAGTTGCTGTGATGCAACACAAGCAAGCGTCGAGAATCACAGGTAGGACGAGGAGCGGGAGGGAACAGGAGGAGCACGAAGTAAACCTCATATGGTAGTAACCCTCTTCGACACCCCCAAATTTCTATAGTAGCCAGGTAGAAGCTCTTATACTACTCAATGTAGTGCAAGGTAGTAGCTCTTCAGCAACTCAGCCCTGAACTTGAGAGGCAGAGGCGAGCGACCACTCCTCCAGCGGATCGGGCTCCAAGTCTTCTGAGGAGGCTCCCCAAGCTCCTGGAACCACTCGGCAAGAGTTTGCTATAGGGTTACCATGATGGGGTCACAATTATTGGGCTGGCTATTCTAGGGTTCAGATGGGTTACTGTGACTATTCTAGGGTTACTAAGAAGGGGTTTTATGGAAAATCATGGGTTCCTATAAGGGTGGCTATACGCCATTTTTTTGGGCGGTTCATATCTCCGGCTGGCTGCTGCTCTCTGGCACAGTAGTCCACGAGTCTTTCAGGGAGCGCGAAGGTCGTGGACTGTGTTGTGCTCTTTGGTTGTCTGCTTGTCTTTTGGCGGGATGCTGCTTTTTGTCCTTTCGTGGGAATCTTACCCACAGGACGAACTTTCTAGTTTTTTCCAGGTAGGCTTTTGGGATATTTCATAATTCCTCTCAGGGCTTAAGGGTACACCCCATATAGTATCACTTATGGTAACCCTTATATTAGCTTCATGGTGGCCTTTACCTCGTAGTACCTTTGTTGTTGGATTGAACATGGACCGTGTGCGGGCGCAGTTGTAGTTTCGCTAAGTGGGATGAGGTTGTCGGTTCTGTCCTTTGCTAGGTATGGGATAGGTCGACGACTTCACGGTGGTGGTTGCAGCCGAGTGTGTCTGTCCCACACATGGTAGCAGTGGTGGGTGTTTCTTGCGGGGTCGCAACCCACGACGTGCAGGCCGACCAGCAGCCGGGCCCCAAGGTTGACGCCCAGGAGGGCGACGTGGGTGCATCCTCGGAGGCCGGTCTCCCATGGTCTGAAACTCCAGGATTTACGGTTAAGCGACGTAGGGACCTGACAAAGAAACTCCTGGTCCTCCGTAGAGGGTTTTCAGGTGTGTATCGGTGATGTTGAGCAGTTTAGACCTAACGGTTTCCCTTATGTACACCGGTTCCTACATTCGTGTGAGCATACCTGTATAACCAGTGATCAAGTGCATGCTTATTGATGACAATGATGCCAGTGGCCGAGAGCATCAGCAGTATCACAAGTCCTAAGAACGATGCGAAGTGTATGGGGAGTCGTGCCACAGCAATAGTATCAATTTCCTGGCTATTGCAGTTGTGGTGACGCTACCCCAGTTGCAGTACATTGACACTGCTGTCAGTAACGCTTGTGGCAGTATGAATGGTACTCTGCCTGTAGCACTAGTAAGGTCCTTCCACAAATCTTCGGATTGTGGCCTTCCTGGGCTTGCACAACTCTTATAGTCCCGTGTTCTTACACTTCCAGAGAAGTGCTCTCGGGGGACTGCCTGCAGGGATTCGTGCTGATGAGAAGGCGGAAGAACAGTCCGAGGCTCAATATGGCATGGGAGATCTTTCACTGCAGAGCTGTGCAACCCATCAGATATCTCCGGACGAAGTGCATAGAGGTGAGGGATGACCAAGGGGAGCACGAGAAGGCCGAAAAGCAGGAGTTGAATTCATCTACGGGTGTCCGGCAAGAGAAACAGACGACAGCCGACCTGGAAAGCTAGCCAAGTCCTTTCGAAGTATTTCATTTTGGCTCGACGATGCTCTTGTCGCTCTAGGTTTCGTCAGCCTGAACCATCCTTTGCCCTAACCGAGTCTCAGCACCAAAGCCCATTGATCGCAAGTTCCGAGCTACCAGCCTTAGCCTTAGCCTTAGCCTTGGCTTGCGGCCTAAGCGTGAAAGATGAAGGTCTGAAGGAGGGAGTCTCAAGAGCTGCAAGAGCTTAGGTCTGCCGCCGAAGCTTGAAATCCTAAATCCTTGTGCGAATTTGCTGTAAGAAAGGGCCTTATTCATGAAAACTTTAACCCATCAGTCCCCTTGGAAGAACCCATCTACTACTCTCGGGGTCAAGGGGGCGGTTGAGTTGAGTCATGAGAATTACTTGCTGCGGCAAAGGTCTCAAGGAGCCACCAGTGCAGACACTCTCCTCCTTGCCCATGCTGGACCTTGGTCATGAAGCTCGGGCTCAGACTATGCAGAATACAGTTCAGGGCTGGTTTGTTTTCGAGTATAGCTGTCCAGATGCTGTATTTGCAAGGATGGCTTGGTCAGCATCCGAGCTCCAGAAAAGGGGCTCTTGTGATCAAGCGCTCTGAACAGGCGGCCTTGCCGTCTGCAGAGCCGGATGCCACTCTTGTGTACACAACCTTTCAAGACTCATTGCGTTGTGAAAATCCGCGATTTGTCTTCTGCGCTGGTTTTGCGCTGAAGCTGAAGCCAGATTACTTCAGAGGATGGAGCTGAGGCAGGCCTCCAGAAAGTGGAGGGGGCGAGACACCGCTCTAGCGTTGCAGGTGGGGCACGCTTGAGGATCTATTACTTCAAGACTCTTGGTCGACCTCCAAACTTCTAGCCAAACCTAGAACTTGGCGGGTCGTGCTTGAGCAACTCCTCTGTCTACGTATTTATACAGACCTAGCACTTTTTTGAGTAGCGTGGTTACTTGTCTTGGAGCGCTAGCGCTGATGCCGCGATGTGGACGACTTTCACAACGATGACACTGGCAGTTATTCCTGTGATTCCCATGACGGGCTTTGAAGGAAGACAATCACAGCAATGACGCAGAAGGGTGCTGACGATGATGCCATGATTGCCGCTTGTCACCCAAGATGTGATGCTGGGTGCACTATGAGGACGGCGCTTCTTGTCGTATATTCCGCAGGGACTATCACCACCGCCACAACCGCCCCTCGCTGCACAATCACCGCCACCCACCCCAACCCCATCCCCGTCCCACCCAGCACCACCGAACCGCACCCTCACCCTCCAATCCGCGCTGTCAGGAAGCGCATGATAGAGTCACAGTTAGTTGTACGTAACATGTGCATGCAGGGCCAAAAGTGCTTTTGTTTGTCAAGGGGGTCGTCGGTTGAGCGATGAAGTTTGTGCGAGGCACTCGCATGTTTGGACGGCCATCGTCAAGGATGAGAGGAACTGCCAAAAGGCGCCATGAAATCGCTCGTCTTATGACTACGATCTACTCTTGTGTAATGTCCTCTATACGGTTGGCATCGATGCTTACATGCACAGTGTAAGCAACAGCAAACGGACTGTTGTTAAGAGTTCGGGCTGTCCAGGAGCTGGCCCAAGGAAACGTCTCGCATAATTGCATGGCTGAGGTTGAAACCTAAAGCAGTCGAAGTGGACAGTGCTGCAGTCTCAAAAACTCCCAGCTGTCGGCCTGTGGAAACTCATCACGGGCTGCTAGGCCCTTTATGTTCGGTTCTTGCTACTCTAGCTTCCGAGCAGGCATCCTACCTATCAGCCCCAATTCTCGCCTTGGACGTGTTGCGAAAGAGCACAACCTAGCATGCTCTATGCCTGACTCGGGACCTTGTCTGCCCACCTGCACCTGAAGCCTTAGCACACTGCGAAAGATCGAACTTTCCGCTTGCACCAGGAAATCGAGCGTGGCGAGAAAGGACTTGGAGTGATTTTGCGCAGCTGTCCTTTCTGTCTTTTAGGGCAACGGTGGGGCCGGTGGGGTAAGAAATTTGATGGACGGGATTTGCCATCGCCCCTTCGGATTTGCAGCGGTGTGACAATGCTGCTGTTGAGAACACTGTCATAACCATCTCTGAGGCTGCAGGCCCTTACATCAACTTGCTCCCCTCTGCTTGTTTCGCATGCAGTGTTGGCGGAGGACTCCATCTTCGAGAACCCTGCCGCAATGTCCAGGTGGGAGGATTGTGCCAGGTAGCTCCGGTCGTAAGGGACCCGTTTTTGTGCCCATTCCGGAGAGGCATATCTCGATAGTCCTAGCGCGGAAGCTGGGATACTAGGTCACCTCTTCGCATTCAGCTCAGGTAAAGCCCCTGCTTCAGCTTGCAAGATCCAGTTTCACGGCCTTCATGGTAGGCGCTTGACAGATGACTCGGCACGGAGCGCTGCCTTAGCGCAGGTGCTGCAGATGGCAGCTCGCTGGCAGTAGAGTCCGATTGTGAAGTCTTCATCGGGTAGCTGGTGCATGAAACCGGGGTCAACGACTACGGCAGCCGCCGCCACCACCACCACCACCGCGACCGCCCCCGCCACCACCACTGCCACCACCACTGCCACCGCCACTGCCACCGCCACTACCGTCAACACCGCGACGAAGAAAATGGCGACCACCACCGCCGCTTTCCTAACACTAACACTGCTGCTCTTCTAGCAAAGCAGCACTCGTAATGTACTTCAAAAATCTCCAAAACCCGATTCTATGAAAACCCCCCATATTATGGAACCTGGAGCCTGAAGTAAAAGCAGAGGAGGCCGACAGGCCGATGCGCACAGACAGCGCAAGACCTTTCCACAGAGAAGTAGACGAAGTGTTGGGGACATCCCCAGCAGAAGAGGCTCTCAGAGGCAGAGGCATTCTTCCCCCTCAAAGCCTGCCCCGACCGCCGCAATGTGCAGGCACAGGCCTCAGATGCGGCATCAGCAGACGACGAAGCCAGCAAGGTTATGCAGGCCGCCAGTGAGAGGATTCGACGCAAAAGCGAGGCCCCTGATCTGCCTTCCGCGGTTCATGAGTTTAAGCCCTGGTTTCTCACGAGGTTTCCCGTTCCTGCTCACGAGCTCCCTTTCCGTTGCAGGCGTTTGTGATTCAAAGTGCAGCCTTCAGGTCTCAAGGGGATGACCAACCCCGGTTGCGGAACTTCGAGGTGTTGTGTTGGAACTCGAAGCCGGGTACAGGCGTTCAGCCGCGTTGAGGGCGCAGAATGTCATGTCCGCACTTCGCAGGAAGAGGCGCTTCTCAAGACCCAGTTGGCAGGCGTGCTGGGCCGACTTGATGCATAAGGGTTTGAGCACGTGAATCCTGTGCAAAGATGTCCTCGAAGTCACTGCCCGAACCATCGTTTCCCAGGTTTCGACGGTCCTAGATCCACCATCTCTTGGATGGAGCCTTTCCCGAAACCTAAACCCAACCCAAACCCAACCCTGAAGTGGCCTCAAGTGATGTTGCGAGCGAGGACAACAGGCCGTCGCGCCAAAGCCTCTGCAAGCTCCCACGGATTTACCAGGCGTCGTGCCATGCTCGTGTCTGTATGCACACGTGACAAACCTCGCCTGACCTGGTCGAGTGCGAGTGCTAAAGTGCATGTGTGCATGTATGTGCTTGCATCAGTCACAGTGTCAGTCAGGCAGTGTGAGTGTGTGTGTGTGTGTGTGCGCGAGCGTGTGTGTGTGTGTGTGTGAGTGTGTGTGTGTGTGTGTGTCTGTGCGCGCGCGTGTGTGTGTGTGTGTGTCTGTGCGCGCGGGTGTGTGTGTGTGTGCGTGTGCGTGTGCGTGTGTGTGTGTGTGTGTGTATGTGTGTGTGTGTGTCTGTGCGTGCGCGTGTCTGTGTGTGTGTGTGTGTGTCAGCACTGCGCATGCGCTTAAAGACGCACGAGGCTTTTACTCTGCCATTTGCACCTCCACGCCAGTAGGAAGGCACCAGGAGCCGGAGTCACTTTGTTCTTGGCTGTCTGGCTATGTTTATCTTTAGAGATACAGTGCCGAACCGTACCGAACTGTGCATTACTGTAGCATAAGCATTGTGAAAGCTTCGCACCGTCCGCCTCGGCCGGCTGCAAGTGAAGAAAGACAGCGGAAAATGAAACTAATTTGCCTGCCCAGCCAGTGATGCAAAGCCACACTTGTCCGTCCTAAAGCGTCTCAAGTGGATGGGTTGGGAGCAGGTGGCAAGCCCAGTCTCCACCAGCAGAATCTGGACGTAGGATGTTGTAGGGGTTGCCAACGGGTGGGCTTCGTAAGGGGGATGAAGCGGTGCGGAAACCCTTTGAGAACTCTGACCGCTTCGGCCGGAGCCGAGGCGAAGATTGCAGTAGCATGCAGTAGCAATGACTGCTGACATCCGAAAAGTACATGCACTCCCGACACAAGGTTCGGTGTCGTTTCACGGGCATGCTTTTGGCCGCCGTGCTTCGCAACGCCCTGGGACTCGGAAGCATGAGGCCATCCGACTCGGGCTCACAACTCCTGGAGAGACCAGCCAACGATATAAGGTTCACTATGGTTGGAATCCTCTCGTCCTTAGAGTGGCTTGAACCTATGGGTTGAAGAAAAGGCAACTAGAAGGCAGTAGAAAGGCAAACGCAAGGCAATAGAAAGGCAAAGCCGTATTTGCCGGAAAGGCAAGTAAAAGGCAAACGAAAGGCGATTGAAATGCAGTAGAGAGTCAAATAGAAAGAGTGGGGCCCGATCATATCTTCTGAGGGGGCCCAGAGCCTTTAGGAAGTCTGAACATCTCAGTTCTTCATCGGATGCGACTCCAGGGATAATTCAACATGTGTCAAGAGTGCACATCAGTATTTCCCAAATGTGTATGTGGGTTGTCGTAGTAGTAGTAGTAGTAGTAGTTGTTGTTGTTGTTGTTGCTGCTGCTGTGCTGCAGTCACTACCACTACCAGTCCGTACCAGACTAACCCCCATGCAGCCGCAAGCCACAAGAACAACGACGACCATAGTGGTCTAGTGACTCTAGTTGGGCTTGGCTTGGTTGGGGATGGGGTGGGGGGTGCCTTTTTGTCGCCTTTACTAAAGCTACGGGGCTGCCTTTCTTTTGCCTTTTATTTGCCTTCTGATGTCTCGGCGTTGCCTTTTGTTTGCCTTTACGCTGCCTTTATGTTGCCTTTTACTTGCCTTTCATTTGCCTTTTATTTGCCTCTTATTTGCCTTTTACCGAGAGAGAGCTCGATCCAGCCGCGACGGTGGCTCCTCCCGACACCCACCCAACCAAAGGCAAACAAAAAGGCAAAACAAAGGCACAGAGCCTGGGCTGGGAAAGACACACAAAAGGCTCTCAAAAGGCAACAGAAATGCAAATGCGCAGAGCCCGCACTGCGGAAAGGCAAATAAAAGGGAGCCCGACCCCGGGCCCCCCTCCCCCATCCACGCGTCCCTCTAAGGCCCCCCAAAAGTGCCCTCCCCCCACCCCACGAAAGGCCAAGACCTCTTTTTCCCCTATACCCCCTTGTTCCCGAAAGCAAGTCTCTGGGCTTCAGACAACGGTCCGCAAGTGTGCAAATCCTTGACCCTTGAGTTTGAACCCTGGGCTGCTGCAAGCTTGTGTTCTGCAAAGACCATCAAGAACTCATACAATCGATTCACTGCAAAACAGCACAATCGCTAGTTACGTACTGCGAATCAGGATTACCTTTTCCGTGCCTTTTCTACACCTTCCCTGTGCCTTTGCGGATCTCAAAGCTCTACCTTTCTGGTGCCTTTACTGTGCCTTTATTCTGCCTTATTTTCAAATCATCACCTACCTTTCTTTCTAACGAAGGAGAGTTCCAACACTATGGTGTCAGGGGCTTTTGTGAGGACTGACTGTTGTTAGACCGATCTGATCTGTTGTCTGGTTCGCAGGGCTGCTTGGTGTGCGATGTGCCATGGGTTTACTTCGTCCTGAGGCTGCTGTGTCAGGTTTGGTTTTGTCATGAGGCTCGACAAATGCGGGCATGACTTGGCATGGTTTCCCCGGCGTTGGCATGTAGCTTACCTTTGGTACACTTTTCCGGGATGCCGATGCTGGTTTCTGAAGCCGCAAGCGCGAAGGCAAGGATATGGTCGGTGAGGCATGTGCAGATGTAGGTGGGTTATGTACGCGTGGGTGTGAAGGAAACTGGATCGACAGAGCCTCTACTCCCAGACTTGGAAATGCATGAATGTGTAAAGCCGCATGCAAGTCCAGCTGGGGAAGCTCTGTTTCAAATGACGTGTGCAGGATGGGGAAAGCAAGCGCCGCAAGGACTCGGAGACTCCGACGCCCTTCGTCCTGGGATTGCTGGGCGCCGGCCCCGGGAGCTGACATGGGATCCCTTTTTTTGCACTGTGGCCGGCTTTTTTTGAAGGAAAAACATGGCGAATGCATGATTGATGCAGCACTGAATGTGGCGGTCTCCAACGGCAACTTCCCCCTAATCCGCAGTGTTTTTGCGTGACCGTGGGAGCGATAACCTGTGGAAGTATCGCACCTTGCACGTCTTCGGGAGCTTTCATACTCGCCACGACCGAAAGTCGGGCGGACCGTTGTCGTGTCATCGCAAAAGTAGGAAGTCATGGCGAGTACCAGCCACATAACATGGCCGTACACAAGAGCAGCCGAATAGAATAGTTTCGCAGTACCAAGAACAATTAGTCACATGTACATGCATCAATCTAACCTCTGCAACGATGTCTCTTTGATATTCAGACAGGTCAAGTAGGATGAGAAAAAGATTCAACATAACCAAAAAACAAAAGGACACACACACGACAGGCTCTGGCATGGCTTGTGCTTGGTGGTTTTGTCAGGCTGCTCGGCACATTTGCATTCGGACCTGAACAGCTATGGGTGGTTTTGGGTGGTTTTGGGCTCAAGGTGAGGTGTGGACACGGATCCAAAGCGGTCCGTGTGGTTGGACATGGCCCCATTGGTCATGCCTTCATTGAGAAACTGGCTGAGAGGGATGCCGGGTTCGAAATCACAGTGGTTGGCGAGGTACAATCGCGTCATGCTGACACAGTACTTCTTGGCCTGCGATGGCGACACGCATGACCAAATGAAGTTGTGTTATTGGAGCGAGGAGGCATTGACAACAAGTCCGTTGCGTACTGCAAAGTCTGCCACGGTGGAAGCTCTGTTGATGAAGATACAGACTCATTGAAGTACGACATCCTAGTATTTTGCATTGGCAGCTTCTTTTTCGTTCCACCAACTCCCGGCTTCGTTTTGCCAGACAAGAAGGACCCCAGTGGCCGGATGACCCAGCTTCTCGCCCTGAAGGAAGCTTCGTGTACGCGACTATTGAAGATCTTGAAGCACTCATCGCTGCCGCAGAGAAATCCAAGCACGGCGTGCTTGGAGGTAGTCTCTTGGGCCTGGAGCCTGGAGGCTTCAAAGGCAGTGTATGATGTTGAGATGGAAAGCCACGTCGTGGAGATGGCCCCGTACCAGCTCAACGAGGAAGCTGAGAAAGCCTTTCGGATAAGCAGCTTTGGCGTCCATGTGCACAGTGGAGCCAAGATCCAAGAGGCGAAACCGAGCCCATCATGGTAGACGCGGACATGGTTGTAGTCTTTTGCACAGTTCGCCCTCGAGATGAAGAAGCACGTGGCTGTGGTCTTGAGGTCGGTGGACGAGGCGGCGTCAAGGTGGATCCAAGCTTGTGCTCTGTGGACCCTAGGCCCTAGCATCTATGCTCTGGGAGAGGTTGCGTCGATTGGGGGCGTGTTTTGCTATTGTTTATGGGCTCCAGGACTTGACCAAGCAGAGGCATTGGTCAAGAACCTTGTAGATGGCGCAGGCAGTGCCAGCTGCGAGAAGAGTGACTTGAGCACCACGCCGAAGCTCTTGGGAGTTGATGTTGCGCCCTTCGGTTCCGATGAGAGCTTTAGGTTCAAGCGCAAGTTCGACGGCAAGGACCCAGCAGTGCCCTGGCCGAAGGATTATCCAAAGCTGCTGCAGATCTGCAAGAAGGGCGACTCGGCCGCTCTGATCATGAAAGCCTGCCTTTCCGCCAACCTCCCCCAGGCTATGAAGTGGCCAACGATGGTGGAGACGGCACAGGCATTGCTGAGCACGATGTAATCTGCAGCTGTTTGGATGTCACCAACCATCAAGGACAAGGATTGCTTGACAGTGCCTCAGATCTAGAAGTGCAAAAAGGCTGGCACAAGCTGTGGAGGCTCCTGCACTCCAGTGGGCGAGGTGCCAAAGGTTAAAGGTGTTATCAGTGATGCTGAAAGCCTTGCCGAAAGAGGTCAAGGATGGAATCAGCGAGTGCTTTTCACCCACGCGCCAGGAGCTTTTCAACATTTTCTGCCTCAAGGAGATCAAGACCTTCGAAAAGACCATTGAGAAGGTTGCCGTGGGCGGCAACACTAGTGAGCTGGACAAGCCGGTGACCGCTTCCATTTTGGACAGCGGGCTAAAGGGCGGTTGCGATCGAATTCAGGACGCCAACGATCGATGTCCTGGCCAACATTCAGAAAACTGGCACCTACTCCGTGATCCCCCGGTGCGCCGGTGGTGACATCACGCCCAGTGAGCTTATAGCCACTGACACCGTCGCCAAAAAGTATCGCCTCGGCATGTACGGCTGCACACGGTGAAGAGCTGCATGGGGAGCACATAGTGCCGGTATGGGCAGGAAAACCTTGCAGAACCGCTACAGATGGCTGCGCTTGGCTGCCTGCGAGAATGTGCTGAGGCACAGGACAAGGGTGCAGGCTGCATCGCCACGAACACTTTTACAATCTTTATCTTTGCGGCGATGGCGGAGCCGAGCGTCGCCACGCACAGCTCTTGGCTTCCTCGATCGATGAGGAGATATGCCTGAAGTACATCGACCGCTCAGGTTCTACTGTAGCACAGCAAAGCACCTCCAGCGCGCAGCACCATGTTCAATCGAGTACTTGAGGAAGGTCATCATTGACGACCGCCTGGGCATCTGCAAAAGACCTGGAGGGGCTGATGCGGCGCACTGTGGAGGCATACAAGTGCGAGTGGAAGGAGGTTGTCTGCGAAGGGGAATTGCAGAAGAAATTCCAACAGTTTGTGAACACCAACGAGACCCAGGACACGGAGCAGCTGCAGTATGTCAACATGCGGAAGCAGCGCCATCCAGCCACCTACGACCTACGACTCACCAGACATCAGGGGTGCAGCTGCTTTGTCCAAGGAGCGGCGGAGGAAAGATGGCCCTGGTACCGGTGATGCTGAGGTGGCGGTCTTCAATTTGTCGCACCGTCAGGATAAGTCGGAGAAGTGGGAAAGTTGCTCACCACCCAGAACCTGTGCCCTTTCAAGCAAGAGCGAGTGATCTCTCGCGGCTTGGTGGTTGCGCAATCACAGTGGCTGATCCGGCGTACAAGACAGTCTATGACTTGAAGAGGATGTGGCATCACCAGTGCAGCACTTGCGGCAGATGGCAGGGTGGAGTGAAACTGCCAGCGCTGGAGGAGTACGCTCGCAAGGCCGTCGAGGAGGCCGGCGCGAAGGCTGCTAAGGTCATGGGCAAGTCCAAGCCTTTCGATGCCAACGGCACGCATGTCGCCCTTGACTGGTGAGGCCCTCGCGCCAAGAGGCAACACATCCGTATCTTCCGCAAGCTCGTCTTCAGACAGCCGCAGATGCACAGTCTGGTCGATACAGGCCGAAGTCTGGTCAGTCTACGCAGCTAGTGGCTGCCGTGCCGTGGTGCGGGCATCGAAAGAAGATGTTTAAAACATGTCAATACTAGCAGCATGCTGGTTGGAAGCACTTGCCAACCTCGCCCAACCTAGCGACATTGCATTGATCTACGTCTCTTGTAGCTTCCCATGCCGGCACAGCTGCAAGCTTCAGTTGAAGCTCCCCATCACATGCTGTGGCATCCTGATGAATGTGGGCTTGAGCGGAGCTCAGTCCATCTTCAGCGCTAGTTTTGGCTCGTGTATAGCTTGCCTGGGTGTCAGTCTCGCGCATCAAGCAACAGACCAAAGATCAGACTCAAAACCGTTGAACCATGCCTGATCGGATCCTGGGGCAATAGATGACACCTTCTCCCACATTCGGGCGCCTCGTACAATCACATCTTGAGAAGGCCCAATGTGTCTGTCTACTTGGAGTATTTTGATCCTTAAGACTGTGGCACATCAACCGGCTCAGCACCAATAGCCTCGCCTGGCTTGTCCGAGAGTGATCGCCGAAACCCCTCATCTGGCTTGTCCGAGTCGTGGGACCCCTAAAACCCTAAACCCCAAATCCTAAACCCTAAACCCGAAACCCTAAACCCTAAACCCCCGGTTCTTCGTGCAGGTTCCTCGCAGCCCGGCTCGCGGGCCGCTTCGCCGGAGGACTCGGGGCCGCCCAGCATGGCCGCTTCGAGGCCTGGGCCCTCGCGCATTCCGGAGAGCTTAAGGAGGGTGTCCAATGTAGATATACATGTATGCAGAACTTACTTTCGATAGATAGATAGGTTTTCTTTCTTTGGCCCAGGGGCTCGGGTTTGAATGAGGCAGAGTCGGGCAGGTTCGCGCGGAGAGAGGCCCGAGGTTCAGCAAGCCGGACTCTCACACGCGCATGACTACGCAGAGGGAGGTGCTGAGTTCCTCAAGCTATCCGTGTCATCGGACACTACATTTCTACATGGTCTTTCGGCCTGACCTGCCGAGTCGTGAGTGTCCCAAACTGGTCGGCCAAGTTTATCGAGGCCTCCTACTGGCAAGACTCGCTCGGCTTCGCGAATTTACCAGGGGCGGCCCTCGGCGGCAGTGGGGGTCCCAGCGCAGACGTTGGCTTGATGCCACGAGCCAAGAGCAGCAACGACAAGGAGGTGAGGACGAAGGCGGTAAGACTGGTAATCATGCTGCAAAGAGAGAGAAAGAGGAGAGAGAGAGAGAGAGAGAGAGAGCGAGCGAGCACCATAAGGATTATGCAAAGTCAGAGCAGCACAGAGTAGAGAAGAGTCCTGCGTAGTCTAGCTGTAGTTTAGTCTTGTAGACTCCATGGCAATGTAGTATAGCGTAGTATAGTGTACAGGGGAGGAGTGAAGCAGAGTAGTGTAGAGTGTCGTATAGGTTAGGCATGAAAGAATGGCTCAGTTTCTTGGAGTTCACGGCGCTCTCGAGGGAGCGTGGCGGAACTGGCGTGCACAGGAAAGCATGAGGGAGACCGGACCGGGTCTTCGGTCATCGCCATACACGCATGCACGAGGCCAGCTGAAGACAAACAAAGGGCGAAGAAAGGCTGAACACAACTGAAGCCCGAGCATGTGACGATGCAGATGTGCACCGCTAAGCTTCCGATTTCTGTCTTCGAGAAAGCACTCACCGCTACGGAGTCATGACCCAGAGTTTCTGCGTCTTCGTTTGAAGCGGTTTCAGGCTGTGACTTGCTCCTTGCGGAAGCTCGAGTCTGTTGGAAATTTAAAACAGACTCGAGCTTCCACAAGGAACTTGTCCTTGTTTCTGCTGCAGTTTAGGCCTCAGATAGCTAGTTGAACAAGTCCACGAGGGACGAAACCGGTACATGAGCGCTGCCTGAGAAAATCTGACTGCAGTGACCTCTTGAGCTTGACTGCTCATCTCATTGAAGTTGTTCCGATGTCAGGGCCTGACTCTGAAGATGGCCAGGGCGGAGGACGGAGGTGCGAGCTTTGGGCTTAGAGCTCCATTAAAGAAGGCTGCTGCTGCTGCTGCTACTACTACTACTACTACTACTACTACTACTTCGACGACGACGACGACTGCGACTACTACTGTTATTGTGATGACAATTGTTATTACTATTTCTACTACTATACCTG